ATAGTTTCATTGATTGGGTCATAGGGTACATCCCAATATTCCGTACACACCTTTGTGTTGCTGTCTACTCCTGAGCTGGCAGCTGGCCGAGGCTGCTTGGAGAACGGCTCTTCTCCAGGGCCCGGAGTTTTTTTTACGACTGTGCGCGTCACTGATGCCGAAGAACTGGATGCATCCGTAGGAGGAGTTCGGGGTTTGTGCAGCTTCTTGTAGACCCCCAGCTTCCTCTTGAGCTGCTTCAGCTCCACCGACGTCTTCCCTGGGGAACGGGTAGTCGTTGTGGGCTGGTGTCGGGAGAGGACCTTGACTCCGTGGAAAGGTCGGCTTCTTTCCACACTCCTTAATTTGGTCCCCAAGTTTTCCGGTACCGGTATAATCTCCACAGCTGTCTGCTTCTTTTGGAGTCCCTCCCGAAATTTCTCCAAGGCTCTAGCCCCGCGAAATTCATAAGTTTTCATTAAAGCATCTTTATAAGATAACTTTAACGAATTCTTATAATTTCTTGGGTCATCAATGAGTTTCCCTGTCTCGGCAGAGTCTTTTTTCGCGGAGTCGTATTTTTCCTCGGCGATTTTCCCTGGCGAGGACTGGTCGTGGGGTGGAGATTTTCCCCCATCATTTCCTCCTTCTCGCGTCGAATCAGCTTCGTCGAAGTTGATTTTTTTGGAATCCCGCGGCCGTTTTCGGATCTTTTCATTTTCGCCAGCTAGATTCGCAATCACTGGCGAGTCCTGTTTTTTTACTTCTGATTGGCTGAAGGAATTCCGCCACTGTTGCGTGCCCGATACTCTGCGCGTGCGGTCTTCATTTTGCTGCAGTCGAATATTCGATGACCCGGCACCCCGCAAAGATCACACGTGTAGTTGGTGTTTTTCGGACGTGGCCGCCCTTCGAATCTGTCGACTTCCATCGGGTCGGCGAACGTGGGGTGAGCCGAGCGGTCGCCCTGTCGCGTACTGCCGACGTGCGCCCGTCGTGTTCCGGCGTTGACCATGTCGAAGCGCTCCGCTGCCGAAACGACGTCACTGTAGCTCGCGTTGTTTGACGCTACGACTTGTCGTTTAACTTAGGTCTTCAACCCGGCGAGGTACGATTGTACTTTTTCCCCTTCGGTCAGGTCGGGAATGCGGTTATAAAATTCCTCCATCTGCTGCGTATACTGCGCTACACTCCCGAACTGTCGGTGTCGATGAATTTTCTCCCGGGCAAGGAAACTAGAATTTATCGGCTCGAAGCGTTTCAGCAGGTCGGTGCGGAACTGCTGCCACGTGGCTTCACCGTGGATGAAGGTACTGTTGCCGCCAATCCACTCGAGTGCCGGCCCTTGCATCAGTGTCGCCGCGAGTCGTACACGTTGTCCGTCCCAGACTGGCGAGCTCCATCCGACGGCTGCGAAGTAGATCTCCATCCCGGCGATCCATCTGCGGGCGTCGGAGTTTCGATCGCTCGGATCGAACGGCTCAGGTGGGCGCGGTTTCGGAGCCTCGAGAAACTGCTGCGACTGCTGCGTCGTCGCCGTTGTCATCTCGTGCTGCGCTCCGGCGAGTCGAGTTACTCGCTCGAACTGGTTTCGCCACGCTTCGCGATCCGCTCGCATTTCCTCCTGAAGGGCTGCGATGCGCGCGAAGAGCTGCTGGGTAACCTCGGCGTTGTCGAAGGTTGCCATCTTGTTCAAAACACGCACGGAGGGGGTAATTCGAAAATCGCGGAGCTGGTGCTTACCAGAATCGGCGTCGAATTGGTCGCCCCCGGCGGTTTTTCGAGGCAGGATCCCCGCTGCTGCTACTTAGCTGAGCGCGGTCGAGTGAGAAAAGCTCTAATTACCAAGTGTCACAGGATCGAATGTGTCGAGGAAAGGTTGCACTATCGATCAGTACAAGGCGCTTTTATACTTCCAAAGTACATCAGGTAACCAGGTTTATCTTATCCTAAGGGAATAGACCCTTCTAGAAAATAGGATCACCCTGCGTATAGCCACGCGAGGCTATTGGCTTTAAGGGATTACGGCAGGATTACGCCAGATAGCGCACCAGTACATCCCAAGCCTGGTCGGTGATATAATTATAATAGCAGGATAAACCAAAGGTTAATGGAGAATAGGAAACCAAATGAGATGAGATAAAGAGAAATGAACGAGGAAGGAAATAAGAAAAGGGACAAGTGGTGTAACGGGGTCGTACTCTCACAAGGGGCGTGTACAGTTAAGTTTAGAGTGTCCGGATGTCTGACAGTTGTGGCAGAACGGCGGCACGATGGTGAGTCCTTTGGTGTCGTGTCGATTCTGTCTGTCATGTCGATTGTAGTTGTCGTTTCTTCGTTGAGCATAGAAGACTAACGGTTGCTGTTTGTTTCTTGGTTGTCTTTCTTCAAACAGGTCCATCTCCTGTTGTTCAGCATGAAGCTCGGCGCAGAGGTGCATCTCCGAAATTCGTCCGTGGGCGCAAAGAAGCGAGCGGGTGGTTCTCCATTCTGGCCCGAGCCCGGCGATGACAAGTGTCACGAAGCTTTCTTCAGTTATTGTACCTCCGCACCGAAGCAGGCGGTCGCGGAGTGTCTAGCAGCGACTCATATACTGCATCGCCTTTTCTCCGATTTTCATTTGTATTGTTGTCAACGACAGCAGCGACTGATAAGTAAAGATTTCCTGCTCCTTTGCAGTGCCATTGCTTGGAAATGGCAGGGACCCGTTGAAGTATCCCAAGAGATGCGCGGCCTCCATCAGCAGTTCGAACTCGAAGCTCCAGGTAAAAAAGTCGTGTCTGTTGAACGGTGAGGATGTCTGCAGTTTGATCACGTGTAAAAACTGCGCCTGGAGACTCAATATCTCATTTGGTGTCTGTTGTGATGCAGCTGCTGTTGGTTGGGCACAGGGCGGCATGAACTCGAACGTCCCCGGTGAAGAGTGATAAGGCGCAAAGGTAGGCGCTCGCCCGAACGATGAGTTGTCCAGGCTCATTGGCGCTAATCCCATGTGTCCTCCGTTGCTCTGTGTTGAATGTGCAAGTGTCCTTGTCTGCTGCTGCTGGTCGAAGTGCGACATGAAGCTGAAGAACCTTTCCATAAGGTTGTGCGCTTTGCGAACGCGATTGATTGGTCGATGAACTCTGTCTGAGTGAATTTAACCTAACAGTGTTGATTATAGCAAGGGGATGCATGGTTCATATAGTGATACAATAGAATGCGAAGGGTCTAACTAAGATGCACTTAACAGGAATACATTGCCTTTGAGGTTCCAGATCCGACTTGAGTAACTGTACACGATTCGGGTAATTGCCTGCGCTGTATTACAAGGCCAATGATGTGTAACTGCTGTCGTGACGGACCCATGGACTTCTGTCGGTTCGACTACTGGTCAACGGTCAACGACAGTTGCATTTCGTGCTTCACGCCATAAGCTTGGACTCGACAAGGGCTACGAATCGAGTGTTACTTTCAGGAATGTAACAATTTCCTTATCGTAACACCAAAACTAAATGTAGGGATTGAAGCAGTGTTAGCAAAGATTTTCTAAGGAAAATGATTTTCCATATGTTTGAGACACGTGCCATTCACTACTTTGAAGAGGTGACAATGGGGAGGTCTATCCACGAGGCATCCTCCCAAATCAAGCCTCGTCACCAACTCGCTGCCAGGGCTTACCTAAGAATTTTCGTCCACACGGCAGATCTGGGTATCTCCTTCGTGGGACCCGGATACAACGGGTGTATGTCAAAAGTTACCCGTAGAAATCCGGGTGTGAGCATAACATTACTTCAGTCCCGGGATTTTCCCGTGATTACAAACGCTCTTACGTATTGTTGCTGGATTCTACGATGGGAACTATGTAAGAGTAGCTCCGCTCTGCTCGTAGAATTTCACCTCTTGAACTTCTTTGCCGTGGCTGAATGCCCTGGGAAGAGGGAATGTTGGGGGGATCGGTGTGTTAGAAGTTATAGTATCCGTGTTAGCCAAAACCTAGCAGGTCACTTCACGGATTCGGGCCAGAATGTACCCAAGAGAATCCGGGTTCATGAAATTCGAACAGTCGCCCGTTCTTCTGTCAAAATCCAGAAAGCTACTCGTGAAAAATCAGCCTTGCTCAGCGCTGCCTTTCCTTTCCACGTTTGACACTGTAGTGGGTCAGGGTCAGACCAGACTCTGTCTCGTGGTGGTGAGCAGCGCAGAGCAGAACCGCATCGCACGGTTCGGTTCGAGTGTTGGAGTTGGGGATTCTGAAGCAAGTGGTAGCTGCTGTCTGTTGCTTGTTGTGCAAGGACGTGGGAGCAAACCTCCACCATGAATCTGCACCCCTAAATATCTGTTGCTCTGAGGCCTCAGGATACGTAGCTCAATTCGATCTGCCCAACAATTGGGTCAGCCCTCGTCCTTTCGTTTGGTCGTGACGTGGAACTCCATACATTCCTCCACCACATTCCTTCCACGAGCCCAGGGCTGGAAGGATGAGCCTGCATCACGCGCAGATATCAGAAGCAAATATCTTTTGCTCTATTGGTGCCAGGAGCTCGTCCAGCTCGTGGTTCTGGTGGCATTCCGACCTGGCAAATCTGTGTCCGTCCTTTTCCTCCTTTCCTCCTAAGAGGCCAGAGGAAACTGTCCTATGGGTAATTTCAACTTTCCTGAAGAGAATGTGGAAGTTCCGTATAGCCCTCGGTATCTCGGTTCATGCCGGAACTAATCCCTAGCGAAGGGTGGGTGGGGGCTTTCACTGGGAAAGATCTGAATTCATATATTGTAAACTTCATTAAGTTCTTTCTAACATACATTTCCAGACTGCGTGAAGAGATTTGCGTCTGCCCTCAATTTCAAGCGCCTCCCGCCCCCCAGTCCCGCAATCATTTGCCTTCCTGCGAAGCAACAGCAACAAGGACGGGTGAGCGAAAATGGGCAACCGCACAGCACAGCAACAGCAGCAAGCAGCACGGACCCGTGTGCCATGGCAACCGTTCTCCTCTTCCCCCTTCTTCTGTCGGCCAGCCATTCGTTCTCCCATCCGTGGTCGTTCCTTGCACCACCACCCTCGTCTGCACAGCCACCGGTTCATTAGGAAGTACTTCTCACGTACTACTGGCAGCGTCGCTCGTTACCTCTTTCCCCTGTGGCTCGTTTGTCTTCTAGGCCGTCTCGCAGTGGTAGTAGTCACCTCTTTGTGGCATTCTACCTACGGTAGTTTTCCAGTAATGGCGTCGCATGTGGCCGTGATGTCGCCGCATTCCTCGGCCATCATCACGCGACTGGGCGATGTCCCCTTCAACGAAAATGACTCCGCTGCTGCGGCAGACGACGACTGGCTCCTCTCGTACCTCGCCACTACCTGCTACGGCAAAGACCCGCGCCTGAGCTCCCGCAACGTCACCGCACTCGGCGGCGCCTCCGGGGTCTCGCCGCTCTCCTCCTCACGCAGCCGCGGCTCGTCCGCGGCGTCCCGTGACGTCTTCTTCCCTGGTGAGGACGCCGCCGCCTCTACCCTCCCCTCCCGCACGACGTGGGACGCCGCCACCGCCACCGCCACCGCCACCGCCACCGCCACCGCCGTCGCCGCCGCCGCCACTACCGTCACAATCCTGAAGGCCTCCGACCGCCGCGTCCTCTCGCCGCCGAGTCGCCGATCTGCGGAGGGCTGCGGCGACGCGCACTCAGCGACCGTCGCGTTCACGGCGGCGATGCCCCGAAACCAGCGGTCGGTTCCGCCAAGATGGGAAGCCCAGCTCGCCGCCAAACCCGTCTTACGGTCGTTGAACGACGCGGCCGCTGCGCCGCAACACGATGATGTGTCGCCCGGCGACGACGCCGGCGACGCTGGCGACGTCCCCCGCGACGACGGACACGGTGTGTGCGAGGAGCACTCCCACAGCGGCGAGGACTTCCGCGCGTGGGTTGCGACGTCGCAGTGGCGAGCCGCCGCGGAAGAAAGCGAGTCTAACGACGCTAGCGACTCCGCCGCTACCAGTGGCGGCGGGGGAAGCGTCGCGGGAGCAGGGACACGAGTGACGGGGACAGCAGCCCTTAAGGCGCGCTCTGGCGATGACAGTGGAACTGACACTGGCAGTTGCAGTGGCAGCGGCAGTGGCGTCGGCAGCGGCGTCGGCACCGGCGGTAGCGGCATGCGACGGATGTCGATAAGCAACAGGCGGCGACATGCCGTGGACTACTCCGAGCTAGACGCCGTGCGAGAACGGTAAGCGTTGAATGAAGCGCATGTCATGGCTCCTGCTCAGTGCAGTGCGTCCCGCGTCCCGGAAGTTGGAAGGTCCGAAACGCGTTGGCGACGCGGCTCAAGCTGACCGTCGTGATCAGGTATTGGTAGCCTGCTGCCACTGCAAGCAACATAGAAGCGGCTCAGCTTGGCTGCGCCGCCGAGTGCGCTGAAAACTCCCAGGCTCTGTCCTGTGTGTCACTCCTGAAGCTCTGTCCTGTGTGTCACTTCTTCCAGGCTTTCATTCCTTTTCCGGCCGTAGTCCGATGCGGCGGACAAATGCTGCTGCTTTCTCACACCTCCCACCTCTGACCTCGATGCTGACTCTCCTCCTCCATGCCCCGTTCCATATCACGCATGCAGGCTCAAGCACGCAGCGAGCATGTGGGCCATCACTACCACTGACTGCCAGAAAGACAGGCAGGGCAGTGACAGCAGCCATCCTGGCAGCCTTGAGAGCCAAGACGGAGGCAACCGCCCTGACATGCGAGACACGTGCAACATCCCCTGCGACGGCAAGGAGGCTTCTGCTGCCAGCAGTGGCGGTAGCTCCAAAGAGGGGTCCGTTGAGGTAAGAGATGAGAGACGAGAGAAGTTGTGGGAGCTCACGGGTCGCTTCAAACCCCGTGAACAGCAGCAGCAGGTGCTGGGGTTGGGGTTGGGGTTGGGGTTGTCAAGGAGGCGCAGTGCAAGTGCGCTCCTGGCAGTGGGGGCAGCAGCTGACTGCGCTGCTAGCATGGCCAGCGATGCGAACATGGGCATCGGCGCGATACGAAAGCCTCGGCACAGCACTAGCAGCAAGGTTGCTCCGTCCTTCCTATCAGGGGCTGTTCTGTCGAAATGGATTCCACGGAGCTGACTCGGAGCTGACTCTTGCAAGAAAGAGCAGAGAGTGACAGAGGGAATAGCTGTTCGAGCATTTACTTCTGTAGCAACTTTGGTTAGTAGACAGATGGTGGTGAGGGCAGGCAGGCCTGCCTGGTGGGGAGCATGAGTCATAATGAGCTAATTCGCTTGTACCAAGTTGGAAGTGCGTTTCTATTCATTCTTTGCCAAAGGGCCTGTTTTGGCACGCTAAGACATGAACACAGCCTACGGGTGTAGTTGTTGCAGATGCAGATTCAGGCGTATTCCGAAGGAGTAGCATTTTAACAGGTGCCGATGCTGATGCTATTTCAAACGCATCCGTTTTGCCACAAGCAGATAATCAAAAGCCCCGTTTTTCGTCGCACGAGCGAAGTTGAAGGGCCAATCACCACGGGTTGCGTATGTCAACGGGCACATAAAACATTCCAATTGGATGCGCACAGGCCCAACTAAGCCAGAATTGCACACTGTACGTATGTGATTCTGCCCGTTTTCACTTATGATAGTCGCTTAATTCAGTTTGCCTTCCACGTGGCAATAATACGACGCGCGGCTGTAATTGTCGCGCGTGACTATCGCGTTGAGCAATCAGAGCGCAGTGGGACGAAAGTATTGCGCGCCGAGCCGTGCTATTACGCGAGCTGTTCCATTACGCGAGCCGTGCTATTACGCGAAGTAGCATCAGAATCAATAAAGAGCCCTCATTCTCACGTCACGTTCCTTGATGTTACCAAAATATGGGCGTCTACTTCACATATCAGGAATTCATCTCTTGAACACCAGTGACTGCTAGCACCAATTGTGGTCAAAGAATTTCTGATGATCCATGGGGGGTCCATCCACACATCAACCTGGCATGCACACAGCGAAGGCTGAACAGCCATGCCATGTCGTGCCATGCCATGATGTGCCATGCCAGGCGCAACTAGATGTGCAAGGCAGCACAGCCCACAACAGCAGACGCCAGCTCCATATTCCTCACCTCCCATGTAAACTCCCAGTCCTTCTCCCTCACGCCCGCACCACCACCACCACCACCAACCACCCCTGCACTCCATTCCTCCTCCGCCCTGCAACACCCCTGGATCTCCTCTCTCCCTGCCATCCCTGTACCAGCCCCATGCCCCCCATGCCTCCCACACCTCCCAGCCCAAGAGACTCTCAGCACATGCAGGCCATTCACGGGTTTCACCTTTTTCATACAGAACCCCACCCGCTGCGCCAGCGCCCCCTCCGTCAGCACAAAAACCCTCCCCCCAGCAGCTGCCACGTGGCAAGCTGACACGGACCCGGCCCACCCTGATTCCCTCGCCACCGGCACCTGCGCCACCACCACCCATTCCCGTGCCGCCACATCCAACCACGCCACGTCTACCTCCCCCAGTCCCAGCCTGCGCCTCTCCGCAGACACGCACAGCAGCCCCACGTCTTCCACCGCTGCCACCGTCCCCCGGCACCAACCCTCAGTCGGTCCCCTGATTAGCCCTACCGGCAGCCACGTGTCCGTGGCAAGATCGTAGAGGTCTAGGCGTTCTATGCAGCCTGCTTCGTCTAGTGACGAGCGGGAGAAGACGAAAAGGCGCCCGCCGAACACGGCCGTAGCGGATACGCGCCACGACGCGTCGACGCCTACTGGCATCCGCGCGAAACGCCGCCACGTGGCGCGCACAGGCGCGGGCGCGGAATTCCCGCCCGTGCGGCGGCAGCTGCGGCGGCTGCTGCTGCTGCTGCTGCTGCTGCTGCTGCTGCTGTTGCTGCCGTCGGGAGCAGCCGCAGTAGCGGTGCGCGGCTGCTCAGTCGCTGACTCATAGCTACTCCTCTCGCTACTACCACTAGTCTGTCTGAAAACCCCTGACAAGCTACTATCACCGGTCATTCCAGCAGCCCAAGCAGCAGCAGCAGCCCCAACAGCAGCAGCAGCAGCAGCAGCACCTGTCGTTTCTCTGTAGTTCCCCTCCACCGCACAATCCAGCAAGCCATCTAAGCTCAACGCCTCCCCCACCCACATGCGCCCTTCCCCATCCAGCTCCGCTTCCGCCCCGCTCAACCACCTGTCCTCGCTTCCCCCCGCCCCCTCCCCCTGCCCATCGCCACGTGTCGTCGCTGCGTAGCTACCCACAGGATCCGACGAGCCGCCTAAAGCCAACAACCGACAACCGCCTCCACCGCCGACGCCGCCGCCGCCGCCGGTAACACTACTGGCGCTGGTGCCGGTATTGATACTACTGGTAGTAGCGAGAGATGACGCGGCGGCGGTGGCGGCGGCGTTGGAGGCTGCGGGTGCGGGGAGGACGACGGCGGCTTGGAGATTAACGCGGCAGCGCGACATGTCGGCGAGCTGCTGCCAGCGACCCGAGCCCAGGTCCAAGCACCACACGTGCGGCATGCGCTCCGCCAACGACGACGTGCCGCCCAGGCGCGGGGAGAAACGGTATTCCCCGCCCAATACAAACAAGGATGGCCGCGCAGGCAGCGGCGCGGTTCGCGCCCCCGAAGGCGCCCCCCGCGCCGATGCTCTTGGTACTGCTCTCGCTGTTACCGTCCCCGGTCCTATCGCTGCCGCTGCTCCCGCTGCCAGGCCCTCAAACCCCGCCGCGATCGGCGCTGCCGCCGAGGCGCCCACAGCGGCGCAGCAGAAGCCCTCGAAGGCGTGCGGCGCGTACGCGCGGCCCGCGAAGAGCGGCGGCAGGCGCATCCACGTGTCGAGCTGCGGATCCCACACGTGGAACACGAGCGCGGGCTCGCCCGCGCTGCTGGTCCAGAGACCCGTGCAGAGCAGGAGCAGGTCGCCATGGTGGATGGCGTGTGCCGCGCGCAGGGACCAGGGGAGCGGGGAGGAGAAGAAAGCGCGCCAGCTGCGGCAGACGGCGGCGGCGGGAAGGTGGGAGAAGAAGGGGAGGCGCGCGAGGCAGAGCGACGCGACGTCGTCCGGGAGACCCGGGAGGAGATCCGTGGGATCTGGAGCCATGAGCACGGATCGAACGAGCCACGCGGAGGATGCGGTGAGAGTGCGGAGCAGATCGAACGCACCGCCGCAACGGCTCCTAAATCACTCGCGGAGATTTATGCTGAGTGGCCAGGAAGTTTTCAGAGCAGGCCGCATGTTCCCGGGCAACGGAAGGCGGCCAGGCTTACTCATGCCTAATCAAGATGGAAGCGGAAATCGGGAAATTAGGAAGTTAGGGAATTAGGTGGTGGTTGTACTCAAGGGTTGTAAATAGCAAGAGAGAACGGGGGGGAACAAGGCGGCAACGGAAGGGGCGTGGTAGTGTGGTCTGGTGGGTGGGTTGGGGGAAGGGGAAGAGGAGGGAGAGGAGGAGCAAGAGAAGGCGAAGGGAATTTATGTGATGTGGGGAGAGGATGGGCTGGGTGGGGGTGGGGAAAATGTGATGGGCCAGCACGACACGCGATAGCGGGTAACCATTGATCTAGATACTTCGCGCATGTGCCCCACGTTATTCGTTGGCGTTACCAGTCGAGATTCGCCGACTGGTATGAGGAGGGTTGCCCAATCCACGAACGTTTCGCGGTTTGACGAACACCTGAGCTGGCGTGAGTTGATTGGGTACACGTCATTTGGTGGGGGATGGTGTGTCCCGCAGGGATCTTTGGTGTGCCGGAAGCAGGACGGGGGAGCTCTACCTATCCACTAACTGTAGCTTGTGTAGTTCTGGTGGGTGGAATCACAGGAGCAGCGGGACAACCTCCCCTTCATCAAGAATTATAAATTGGGATGCATACAAACACTTAGTAGGACATACAAACGTAGAGTCATCAGATTCCATAAAGAAAACAGCCCAGGGACCTCTTGTCTCGTTGTAGGGAAAATGTTACGTTGCCCGAGACCACCGAATCCTCGGTCACTACTGCACTGCACAGTGCTGCACACCAGTTGGGCAAACGTCGCATGGCCCCGCGAGGCGACACGCGGACTCCTCGCTGTTCGTCGTCACACCAGAGGAAACCGACAGAGGACATTCTCGTGCCGACATTCTCAACAACCGCCGCAAACTCCAAACCCCTCCGCTTCCCCCTTCCCTCTTCCCCCTTCCCCCTCCTCCCTCATCTCCCAGTTTGCCTTCCTTTCCACCCCCATCCCCCCATGACCTTCCGCCACTTTCTGCTTTCCCCGTGTCCCCGTGCTCCCCCCGACTCCCTCTGTTGCTGCACGTCCGCAACTTTCCCTTCCGAGCATCGCCCTCCTAGATTGTTCCATCCGAACCGACTGATCCCTCCCTCCGTCCGTCCGTTTGTTGTGTCCAGGTGCGAGCGGCGCAATAACGGGCGTTTCCGTCAGCCGTGCAAACTGACAAATCCTCGCAACGCAATCCATCTGCTGGGCAATCAGAGACACCCAAACAACCAGCCCAACCTCAAGGTCCGTGGCTGAGGGCGCGTCATTGTAGGGCACGTGGGCATCGATTCAAGCTCGGTCTCAAATGTACACCCGGGCACTCCGCGCCGTCTCGATCAATGACAAAGGGTTACGTTTTCCGCAAGAGTTCGCTCAGTCGACGAAAGTGTAAACTTAATTGGTCATTCAATACAGGTCGATGCTGACCAATGCCAGCGTCGGTTTTTCCTGCCGATGCCCGCGAATACAAGCGAAAAAGACACGGCCTCAACTCACCTCATCACCTCACCTCATCGAGACACTCACAATCACATAACCAATTGCACCAAGCAACTAAACAGCAGCACAGCACTAACCTCGGTTCTTGATGATGCGCCAGCTCAGTTCCATCATTCGCTCGTTTCAGTGACAGCGCAAATCACGCTCGATTAGACGCACAGATGACGAGGCTTAGAGATCACGAGTGCTAGGTTCGGCACTTATCCTGATGTCGCACCTTAGCAGCACCATTCCTTTAGCTAGACACGCGCCGGCACGCCGGCATGTGGAAAGCGAGTTAAAACTCGCTGACCGACGGGCGGGGGGAGCGAACGAATGGATTGTCGGCGACGCCCAACTAGACTCCGAGAATCTGCCAATCACAGAGCTTTGGCGGCGAAGCGTTGGCGGCGCCGCCTCGGGCTGCAGTGAGAGGGGCAGTGCGAGTGATAGTAACGAGGGGAGGAACAGTGTAGGCCGAAAGCCGCGTGAGTTTTACGACACCAGAAATGGATCAAGTAACAGTGGGGTGGTAAACGGTAGAAGTAGACGGACGGCGAGCAAATCGGGGAGGAGCAACACGCCGTTAGATGCGCCGTCAGATGCGGCATCAGATGCGGCGTCAGAGGGGGAGGGGGCTAGCACGAGCGTCATTACGCGCCGGCGGCGATTTCCGAACTTAACTATCCAAATTCCCGTTAGTGATTTCACCAGTACTATTCCAGAGCCGGTCGCTGACACGGCCGGCCAAGACCGCGCGAAAGGCTCGGGCGACCAGCTCCGCGTCGCAGGCGACACCGTGCGACGCCGCCCGAGCGACGGGTTTGGCGGGGCGGAAAGGAGACCTCGGCCAGACACGAGGGGGTCTGGCAGCAGTTGCGGGAGCGGAAGGAGAAGGAGCAGCAGAGCTGCGGGGGATGACGGAGCGGGGGAAGAGAGGGGGGGGAAGGCAGTTCCTAATGAGTCTTACCTACGGCAATCGAGCGAGAGATCGGATTGGGCGGAGAGAGCGGCGGAAAAGTGTGAGAGAGCGGCGGGCAAAGGCGGAAGAGCAGATGTTTCGGGGAGGGACGAGTGCGCTGGTATCGGGGACGGCCTCTCGCACGCGGCGGGAAGAGCGGAAAGAGCGGAAGGAGCGCGGAGAGCGGGGGAAGGGGGGGAAGGAGAGTTGGGCGGGGAGCAGGAGGAGGGTATGTACGCGGTTGTGCGGCTGATGCGGCGGCGCCTGGGGGAGGAGAAGGAGCGGCGCGAGGCGGCGGAGCGGGAGAAGGAGGAGTGGGAGCGGCGGTGGGAGGCGGCGGAGAAGGAGGCGCGGCGGTGGCGGCGGAAGCTGCAGCGCGCGGAGGAGCTGGCGGAGGCGATGAGCGCGGAGCGGGGCAGACTGGCGGGTGAGTGCCGGCGTGCGCCGCGTGCGGCTACCACTCCCCCTTCCCTATGTCACTTTCCCCACTCTCTCCCCCCCCCCCCCCCGTCTTCCCTGACCCGCGCACCTGCCCCCCTTCCCGCGCGCGGGTTCCTCAAATTTCCCCACGCTTCTCCCGCCTTCAACTTATAATTCCGCTCCTACCATCCCTCCCGCCCCACCTTTCTCCCCCCCCCCCCCCCCCCCCCCTCCTCCCTTTCCCCCTCCCCCCGCCTGGTCTTCCCCAGGCGACCTCATGCGCGCGCTGGAGCAGGCGGAGCGCGCAGTGGCGGCAGTGGCGCAGGCGGAGGAGGACCGGGCGCACCTGGAGGTGGCGGCGGGGGAGGCGGAGAAGGAGCTCCGCCTGCTGCGCGCGCAGTGCCTGCAGCTCAAGTCCGACCTGCGCCAAGTGCGCACTGCACCCCCCCCGCCCTCCTCCTCCTCCTCCTCCTCCTCCTCCTCTTCCTCCTGCTCCTTCCCCTCCACCTCCTCCTCCTCCTCCTCTTCCTCGTCCTCTCACTCCTTCGGCGCGAGCTCACGCTGCTCGGCGCGCTCCTCTCAGTCGCACCGCAAGCCATCCCCCACTCCCACTCTCCCGTTGATCCGCTGGGGCAGCCTGGGGAGCCGTCTACCTGCCCTCCCCTCCTCTGCCCTTTCTTCCTCCTCCTCCTCCACCTCCTCCTCTGGCCTCTGCCACCCTCCTAACACATCGTCAGCCGTCCCATTATCTCTCACAGAGGCGCCTCTCCTTCCGGCGGCTTTACCTGGGGGCGCTCAGGGCAGTGCGAAGGGGGAGCGCCACGATTGTCTCATGTGCGGAGCGGAGAACGGCGGGGATGTTCTCTTCACCTTGCGCGCGTTGCGGCGGGAGAAGCACGCACTACAGCAGAAGGTGTGCGAGCTGCAGCAGAGGGTAAGTGAGCAGCAGGCGACGGCTAAAGAGCAGCAGCAGCGGCTGGGGAGAGCAGAGAGGGAGCGGGAGGAGTGGAGGGCGCAGGCCGGGGAGGTGGAGAGGGGCCGAGAGCGGTGCGTGCAGGTGCTGCGGGAGGAGCAGCAGGCGGTGCAGCAGCGGCTGGTTGTAGCAGAGGAGAAGCGGGCTGTAGCAGAGGCGGCAGCGAGGCAGGCAGAGGAGAGGGTAGCGCGGCTAGTTAGGCAGGTGGCTGGGATGGCTGCCGTTGCTGTGGGGGGAAGGCGGAGTGGGAGTGGGAGTGGGGGATTGGCTGCTGTTGGTGGGGGGGGGAACTGGGAGGCGCAGGGGGCGGGGGGGAGCGAGAAGGGTGTGAGGGACGGGGTTGGGTCCGTTGAGGGTGAGAGGATGGGGAATCAGGAGGGGTTGGGGATGAGCTGGCAGCAGCAGGGGCAGCAGGGGCAGCAGGGGCAGCAGGGGCAGGAGAGAGCAGGTCAAGGGGATGTTCAGGCGATGGTGGGCCGTTCAACCACTATGGAAGGACACAGGAGGTGAGTCTGCAGTCGTTAATCTGTGTGCGTGTGTGTGTGTGTGTGTGTGTGTGTGTGTGTGTGTGTGTGTGTGAGAGAGAGAGAGAGAGAGAGAGAGAGAGAGAGAGAGAGAGAGAGAGAGAGAGAGAGAGAGAGAGAGAGAGAGAGAGAGAGAGAGAGAGAGAGAGAGAGAGAGAGAGAGAGAGAGAGAGAGAGAGAGAGAGAGAGAGAGAGAGAGAGAGAGAGAGAGAGTCTGTGTGTTTGTGAGTGTGTGTGTGTGTGTGTGTGTGTGTGTGTGTGTGTGTGTGTGTGTGTGTGTGTGTGTGTGTGTGTGTGTGCGTGCATGCGTGCGTGTGCATACCTGCCAGCGTGCACACATGTATATGTGTGCACAGGTGCGCTGTGAGTGCCTCCAACCGTGTCTCACATGCCCCCTCTTACCCCACTTTCCCCCCCTCCCCCCCTCTTCCCCCCTCCAACCCCCCTCTTCCCCCCTCTTCCCCCCTCTTCCCCACTCTTTCCCCCCCCACCCCCCCTCTCCTCCCATCAACGTCCTTTCCCCTCGCAGGAGCCCCAGCCGTTCCTACTACCGCTCGCGCTCCTCTCGTGCGCGGCCGCACGCCCAAGCACTTGTATCCGCCGACAGCCCTTCCCTCTCTGGACTCTGCCCAAACGCAGCAGCAGCAGGAGGAGCAGGAGCAGCAGCAGCAGCAGGAGGTGCATCCGGTGCTCCCTCGGCTGCAGGCACTCTCAGCTCTGCCGACGGCTGCTCGCTCGACGGCGCATCCTACTCCTACTCCCGCTGCAGTACCGTCACAGCCACCCATCCCTTCTCCACCAACTCCTCCTCTCGCCCTCCCACGCCCCCCTCCCGCCCCTCCACCCCTCCCCCCTCCTCCTCCCCCCCCACCTCCTCCCTCACATCCCTATTCCTCTCTCATATCTTCTCCTGGACCTCCCCCTCCCCCTCCCCTGGTACGTCCCCCAGCCCCTCACCAGGCCCCTCCCCTGCTCCCTCTCCTGAGCGCCCCCCTGATCGCCCCCGTAGCTTGCTCCCTGCTGGTAGCCGCAGCAGTAACAGCAGGAGGGGGGGCGATGGGGGGATGAGAGCGGCTGTTGCAGGGGTGGGAGGGAGGGCGGTGAGAGGGGGAGGAGGAGGAGGAGGGATTTCTGGCGCTTGGCTAGGGGCGGGAGCGGGAGGGAGGGAATCGATTGTGTCAGGAGGGGTTAGGGAAAGGGGGGAGAGAGAGGGGGGTGGTGGTATGCTGGCAGAAGCGCCACCAGCAGCAGGAGGAGCAGCAGCAGGAGCCATGACAGGCAGTGGCAGGTTGGCTTCTGGTTGTGCCTCCCCTGCTGTTGCCTCTTCTGCTGCTGCTGCTGCTGCTGCTGCTGCTGCTGCTGCTGCTGCCTTTGCTGTTGATCCTGGCCCTTTAGGTGGTATTTGGATGCGAGGCAGCATGGGCGATGGGGATTCAGGCTGTGCCGGTGCTGCTGGCATGGGCGGGCCCTCACTAGGCCATGCAGAGGGGTGGCAAGGAGGGGGAATGGGAGAGGATGGCGCAGCAGGAGCACTGGCAGTAGGTATGGATAGATTGGGATTAGGGCTAGATGACCTGCTCTTGCAAGTACAGGGGGAGGAGGTGAGCTTGGGGGGCAGCAGGAGTTTGGAAAGGGGAGGCGGTGCCTTGGAGGGGAATGTGAGGTATTTCGACCAGGGAAGCAGCATTACGGGGTTGTTGCAGGGGCGCGGGCAGCGGATGGGCGTTTGGGAAGGGGAAGGTGGGGAAGGGATGGAGTTGAGGGCTAGGGAGGAGCAGTGGGTTGGGGACAGGGATCCTTACAGGAGCATGCTGGCTCATTCGCAGGTGGTGTCTCCGCTTGTGGCGAATGCGATGCATCATCATAGCTCGCCAGGGCAGTTTGTGAATGCGTATGAGTATGTCGTTCCAAACTAGGCTGTGGAAGGAAGGCATGATGAAGTGTTGTGCTAGATTTGTTAAAGGATGGACTTGCAGGAGTCATGAGTTGGTTTTGCAAAACTTGGAGGTGGTGGGAGTGAGATGAAATGTAGAATATGTACCAGTTCTCAAAGAGGGTTTGTCTCAACAATGCCCTAATCCTAAGGGCGTGTATGAAGTGAATCCAGAAAGACTTCGGTATCCTGAGGTCACAACACTTTTGAATCGAGTTTATATACCCCCCCTAAAACGCGTTGAGTTGCACCCCAGATTCTCCCCCCCCTCCGAGATAGAGAACGCTTCTCTAGCTGGCCTGGCCACAACCAATGGTTTTCTCAACAGGCGCACTCTTGACCTCTTGACGTTCAATCTAGAGCGTCACTCAACAACTGACGAGTTTGGGGTGTTGTAACTACGCCTTTGACGAGGCTCACACAGATGTCGAGACAGCTCGCAGCCAAACATCGACTGCAACCCTAGTCAACCGTTGACGATTCCTCTAGGACGTAAAGAAACAGATTCAGCAACATTCAGGCCTCAGCAGCGTGTCACTAGGCATGGTAGCCTTGACTTGTCAGACATTTCGCTGACTGTCGCCAACATCCTCGCTGCTAGCAGGTGGACTTTTGTTGACAGCATTCTGTTAAGTGAATCCGTTCCCCGAAACCTGCGAAGGCATCCACCCAAACCCTTCTTTCGGTCAGGTGAAATTGGCACGTTGCGCATTTTCATTTGGGCAGAGCAAGGACATTGGACGGAAGGACGGAAAGTCTAAGACGCACGACATTGGACCGCCCGTCAAGCCTTTCTGACAGGTGCCAACTTGGCACTGCCAAGTCATCCCTGTCGCCCTCTCCAAACCAGGGCTTTCCTTAGGGTTCTCGCCCACACGGCAGATCCGGGTATGTCTCTCACAAGACCCGGGCTAAACGAGTTTAAGCGAAACGTTACCCGTTAATGTCCGGGTTCAGTCCCGGTTTTTTTCCGTGATAACAGAAGCTCTTACGAAAAGTTATTGTATTCTACTAAGGGAACCACGTAAGAGTACTCCCCTCAACTGTACTTCTACCCCTGGAACTTCCTTGCCAGGGCTGTTTTGCCCTGAGGAGGGGGAATTTCGTAGGGTCGGTGGGGTGCTGTGAAAAGTTCTGGTATCCGTGTTTCTCAAAACCTTACATGTCACTTCACGTGTTCTGGTCAAAATTGACCCGTCAGTGTCCGGGCTCATGAAAATCGAAAACGTCACAATCCGATTTAGTTAGAAAACTTACCCGTTATTTGGTCAGAATCCGGGTCATTCCTTGTAAAAAATAAGCCCTGCTCCAAACCTCAAACCAAGAACAAACATCTAATCATACCACGTTCCCCAAGCTGTTTTGGGCGCCAAACCCATCAAAGCTGAGGTGGGGTAAGGAAAAGCCCAAATGCGACCAGCCTCACTCAGCCATTCACAAAGCGACCCGAACTTAGCACCACTGATTTTTTTCGCACGACAGCCTTCATGCCATAGCCCATTCTATGCCCCTAGTCCGAACCTCGTCGAGTCGCGTGGTCTTCATTCATTCATTTACACTTGATGCCCAGCCAGCCGTCTATTTATCCAAGGCCTTCAGACTTTCATGAGTCCCAATAGACAGGTTATACCTGCAACGGCCAGATGTATATAGGCCTCTGGATCAGGCGCAATCTCAGGGCAAGATTGCGCCCCGGAGAAAAGTGCAGTGTGGCACATAAAGTCGGGGGCTTCGCTTCATCTGCTTGGTGACTGTAGCGCTATACACATGATGTCCGCAAAATGCCTAGCCCGGTTCTGTCCCAAAATGCACGCTCCCGAACAATACTTCCATCCACATTCATCCAGCGCGTCTCGTGAACAAGGTGTTCGTAAGTCGGGCACCCTTTGTACAGTCGCTCGCCTGAGAAACCCACCTTCGGGGACTCGATCTCCGTGCGACATTACAAACCTGAACCCAACTTGAGGTGAGTGTAACAAAAAAACAGACTGTAATACGTGCTATTTAAACGAATACCTGGGTGTAAATAATACAACATGAGGCCCGGAAATTGCTGCTGCTTGGTGTTACAGTACCGATATTCAGACAAACCCAGCCCAGCTGTGTTGAGAGTTATTTGTATCTGACACACAATCATGCGCTACTAAAAAACCTGAATCCCAAAAGGAAATCAAGTGCACTGTAACCGTAGCCCTATCTTCCAACTCAGCTCATCAACTGTCTCGCCCTGCCTGCCGAACGTCGACCGAACCACGCGTCACGCACAAGGCCCAAACCTGACCGACCCCAGATGAACCGAAGCGCGTCGCACCCAGCGTAAACGGCTTTCTTTCGAATTTCCACCATACCGTACCACGCGATGATCTGACTCCTTAACTTTAAGAACGTAAGGAAACTTACTGAACCACTCTGGCCGTTCAAGCTGTCATTACAACCGCGTGTTCCACATCTTAGCCTGACCCATGGACCACGAACCAGGTCCCATACCAGATCAACGAGCCCAACAAAGATGCAGATCTGGGGTCCGAGCCAGACGACCACCTGGCAGCAGTTGCTAACCCCAAACCATCCAAAGCCTAAACCATACCTAAGCTTTTCTCCGAAGGGCCCGCTCCAGTCGAGCCAAACCTCGCGTCCCAGTTCGTTACGTGCCAAAACCCCCTCGCGCCTCGTCGGCTGCCAGGCTGGCGCATGAGCGCGTGCCTGCTGCCACACTGGACCTATTTTCAGTCCCTTACAAGATTTCCCCCAAATTCCAACCATTTCTGCTCGGCACTGTGCTGCACGGCGAGGTAGCGTCTAGCTTGTCGCTCTTCTCTTGATCTCAACGCACATTCTGTAACGCAGAGTGAGGAGAGAACTGTTACTGCCTTAGCCACCGTCAGACGAGGATTTCGAATACCCTAACCACGCCTTTTCCGTCTTCGCCTACTCCCGTCCCTAACCACGCACCTACTATCGCGCATTGACGCTTAGACCAGCTGTCGCTCTAGTCCCCTCGTACCTCCCTTCCGCTTGCTCCCAAATATTAGATCCACCCTCGTCTCCTGTCACCTATCCCGCCACCAGCCATGTCCACAGCAGCCGTCGGGCCGGCGCCGTTTTTGCCGTCGGGCCTCGCGTCCGCGGATCCGGCGGCGGGAAAGACGGGGCTAGAAGGCTTGGCGCCGGTGGAAGGGCTGGGGTGCCTGACGCCGGATAATTTCATGGTGGCGTGTGGCGACCTCGTGCTCACCGACCACCAGAAGGCGGTCGTCGCGGAGGCGCGCGAGTTGATCGCCAAAAGCGGGACCTCCACGGATGTACGTCGCGGCTCGCGCGCTCTCCGCTTTCTCCGACCGCTGTGCTTCCTCGTGCTCGTCCTCGTCCTCGTCCTCGTCCTCGTCCTCTTCTCGCCCTCGGCTCCCGCTAATCCCGTCTCCCGCGCCTTCCGCACTCCATTTTCCGCTCCCTCCTGTCATTCTCCGATGCAGTTTTCCGCGGTTGGATTACTTGCACTATTAGCTTTGGCTCTTAGCTTTGACGCGGCTTACCACGCGCCCCATATATCAATCCTCTCCTGCCTCCCCACCGCTCCCCCCTTCCCTTCCCCCACCCCCCACTCCCCTTCCCCTCCCCTTCCCCTCCCCATCCCCCTCCCCATCCCCCTCCCCCTCCCCCTCCCCCTCCCCCTCCCCTCCCCCTCCCCCTCCCCCAGGACGTGGACGACCGCACCATCATGCGCTTCCTCGCCGCGCGCGCTCTGGCCCCCGCGAAGGCCGCGCCGATGTACGTGGCGCACCGCAAGTGGCGCGCGGCGTACGTGCCCGAGGGCCCCACGGTGCCGCTCGACAGCATCCGCGCGCAGATCGCGAGCGACCTCATGTGCCTGCAGACGCTGCCCGGCCACGTGTCATGGCTCGTCATCCGCCCGCGCTTCCACGACCCCAACACGCGCAACCTAGACGAGTTCGTCCGTGAGTGTCCCCATTCGCCTTGTAGGCCGCTCCTACGCCCGCTCTCGCTGCCGCGCAGTTTCTTTGCCGCCAGTCTGTCCGGTAGACTCGAGAGTTACCTCCGCGACCCCAACGCGCGCAACCTCCGTGAGTGCCCGCCCTCCCGCCCGCTCGCCCGCTCGCTTGCTCGCTTGCTCGCTCGCTCGCTCTCGCTAGGTCACTCTCTAGGCCCTCCTTGCGCTGGCTCTCTCTGTCGCGGAGCGGCTCTGCTCTGCCGCTCGATTCATGAGAGTGTTGCTCGCACTCACTCAAGAGGCGCGTCCACGACCCCAGGTGTATTTTGAGTCGACTCAAAATACACGCGTCCACGACCCCAACGCGCGCAACCTCGACGCGTTCGTCGATGAGTGTCCGCTCGGCGCTCTTTTGGCCGCTCTCTCGCCGTCGTTCCATCTGTCGCCCGCCCCGTCGCTCTAGGCCTCGTCGCGCTCTCCGTCGCTCCGTCTGTCACTCCCCGTTTCGTCGCGTGGTATTCTGTGCAGGCGAAACGATCGCCTGGGCGAATCTGGGAGATTGTGAGGCTCAAGGATGCGGCCTGCCGGCTCTTGAGTCGAATGCGGCCTGCCGGCTCTTGAGTCGAATGCGGCCTGTCGGCTGGCTGTTTCTTGCACTGACTGTCCGCTGTCTTGTTAGAAGGCTCCTGCAGTATGTCCTCATCCCCATCCGCTTCCCCTTCCCCTCACCTCCGTGCCATGCCTCTGTTTCTAAGTCGCGTTGCTCCATTCCGTGTGTCCGTGTCTGTCTGCCTTTGCGCGTGCCTGTGCGTGCCTGTGCGTGTGTCCTCTCTCTCTCCCTCCCTCCCTCACAGGGCTCATAGTGTACGCCATGGACACGGCACTCGGCAGGTGAGATGCACGCACCACAAATGAGGCATTACCCTCGAGGCAACACCCGTGTCCGTGTCCGTGCCCGTGCCCGTGTCCGTGTCCGTGTCCGTCCCCGTGCCCGTGCCCGTGTCCGTGTCCGTGCCCGTGCCCGTGTCCGTGCCCGTGCCCGTGTCCGTGTCCGTGTCCGTGTCCGTGTCCGTGCCCGTGCCCGTGCCCGTGCCCGTGGCCCATCCATGCATTGTCGCTGCAATATCCGAAACCCTTATTGCCGACCCTTACCGCCTTCATTGCCATTGATGATGGCTCAGCTGCCACGCGGTGAGCCAGCACGAGCTCGGAGTGATCCCCTACATGGAAGAGGTGGGCTCACTCCCTCTTCCTCTTCTCCTCACCTGCCCTCACCTCCTCTTCCCATCCGCTCTGTCCCTCACCCCCTGCTCAGCTGCCAGGCGGCGAACTACCACAAGTGCGGCGTGATCATCGACATGGAGGGGTTGGCGTACCGCAACCTGGACACCAGAGGCGTGCTGGCTATCATAGCCATCCTGCAGGTGAGCCGGCGACCACGGGGTGTAGGCAGGCGAGGCGGGGAGCAGGCCTGGACAGTGGACACACCTGTGAGCTTCACCTTTTCCCCCTACCCCCTTTCGCTTGGTCGCGTTAATTGCTCTCGCCAGAATCAGCACTCGGGCGGCTCATCTGCCTCTTCCTCGTCCGCATCTCAAGAGCGCCTAAATAATCTCTCCCCACCCCCCCCTCCGCCCCCCTCCACACTTCCCCCCCACACTGCATTGCTGTGCATTGCTGTGCATTACCGCCACCAGAACCAGAACCCCGAGCGGCCGATCTGCCTGTTCCTCAGGTGACTTTTGAGTCGACTCAAAAGATCTGCCTGTTCCTAAATCCCACAGATTTCGTTTTTGAGGCGCCTCAATACCTTTCTCCCCCCTCCCCCCTCCCCCCTCCCCCCTCCCCCACCCCACCTCCCCTCTCCCCTCCCCCCATGTTGCGATGCTCTGCCCCATGGCAGAACCAGTACCCCGAGCGGCTGGTGTGCCTGTTCCTGATCCACGTGCCGACGGTGTTCTGGACGCTGTGGAAGCTGGTGTCGCCCTTCATCGACCCCATCACCAAGAAGAAGGTGCGTGCGTGCATGTGTGGGCCGTGGTGCATACGCTTCCGTCTCCGTCTTCCCATGCATGCACGCATGCATCCATCCATTTCCTTGAGTCTGTCCGACCCAAAAGACGCTGTGGAAGCTGGTGTCGCCTTTCATCGACCCCATCACCAAGAAGAAGGTGCCTGCATAGATCTATTCACCCATTCGTCCACTCCACACGTTAATCCATCCACCCACCCACCCATGGGTCCATCCATCCGTAAGCCATCCGCCCATCCCTGCACCGGTTTCGGTTCTGTTTTTGAGAATTCTCAAGGACGACAAGGCCATGCAGTTGACGATTCAAGCAGCCATTCCCCGGAAACAGCTTCCCAGCCGCTACGGCTGTCCTTTCTCTCCTTCCCCTCTCGTTCCCCATTTGACTCCTCCCAACCCTTTCCCCCACCCCCCCCTTCCCCCCCGCCTTCCCCATAGACCTCCCACCAGTTTCGGTTTTTGGAGGACAAGGCAATTCAGGAGACGCTGCTAGCAGCCATTCTCCGGAAACAGCTGCCCAGTCGTCTCTGTTGCAACAATCCTCTCCGTCCTTCACTTCCCATCCCCCACTTAACTCTTTCCAAACCTTTCCGTCGCTCCTCTTCCCTTATGCCCTCCCGCCAGTTTCGGTTTTTGGAGGACAAGGCAATTCAGGAAACGCTGCTAGCAGCCATTCCTCGGAAACAGCTGCCTAGCCGCTATGGCGGAGAGGGGGAGTTCACTCCCATTCGCAACGTCCAAGGGGACGCCTGGCCCTCCAATACCGAGTGACGCTTGTTATAGTCACGGCTCGCTCTGCACCTGCTTCTCTCTTCACAGTCACACCTCGCTACAGTCAGTCCTCAGGACCCACACCCCTTAGGGTGACATGATGGTGCGATATACTTACTAGTTTCTACGTTCCCCCAACTTCCTCCCCCAACCTCCCCCCCCACCTCCTCCCCCCTACACACTGCGGCAAAGGAGAATCTTGGCTGGGCCATGAGAGTCCATGATCCATCCTTCCCTTGCTGAGCAGGCTTGCTTGGAAGTCTTGTAAAAAAGCTGTGTGTGATCGATGATGCATGATTTATTTATCCCTTACAATGGTACACTTGCATGCAATGCAATCCTTGGTAAAGACACGGCAGCTTGTGTTTCAAGTTTCAACAACTGCAGTTGGAATGGCACTTGTTTTCCAACCACCTGCCTTGTTGTGGTGGTGATTTCTGTTAAATTATATCTTTGTTATATACCGTAATCCCCCGGGTAGAACACCCGCCGAAATTAAGCACCCCTTGGTATTGTATCCGGGGAGGGTATACTATTGAAGAATCCGCAATTATACACCCCCTTTTTTAGGGTTCCAGGAGAGCACCCTGTCAACTTATACATATTATCTATGTAGAAGTTATAGGCTAGACTGAGGTATGCTTCTAGTGAGTACAACCAACTAGTATTTGTTCTAGGTTTCCACTTCTAGTAATCATTCGTTCTCACTTTGACATGGTATCACGCGTAGGTTAGCATCCCCCACCTACCGCTTCCGCCCGTACCCTAGCTAGGCCACGTCGCGCCTCCTAGCCCCGTCGCGCCTCCTAGCCACGTCGCCCCCCTCCTGGGCCACGTCGCGCCACCCTAGCCCCGTCGCGCCACCCTAGCCCTGTCGCGCCCCTCCTGGGCCCTGTCGCGCCTCCTAGCCCCGTCGCGCCCCTCCTGGGCCCCGTCGCGCCACCCTAGCCCCGTCGCGCCACCCTAGCCCCGTCGCGCCCTGCGTAGCCTCGTCGCGCCCGCTCGGCCTCGTCGCGCCCTGCCTGGCCCCGTCGCGCCCGCCTGGCTCCGTCGCGCCCTGCCTGGCCCCGTCGCGCCCTGCCTGGCTCCGTCGCGCCCTGCCTGGACCCGTCGCGCCCGCTCGGCCCCGTCGCGTCCTGCCTGGCCCCGTCGCGCCCGCCTGGCCCCGTCGCGCCCTGCCTAGCCCCGTCGCGCCCTGCCTGGCCCCGTCGCGCCTACCTGGCCCCGCCGCGCCTCCCTCGCCCTGACGCGCCTGCCTGGCCCCGTCGCGCCCTGACTGGCTCCGTCGCGCCCGCCTGGCCCCGTCGCGCCCTGCCTGGCTCTGTCGCGCCCTGCCTGGCCCAGTCGCGCCCGCTCGGCCCCGTCGCGCCCTGCCTGGCTCCGTCGCGCCCGCCTGGCCCCGTCGCGCCCTGCCTAGCCCCGTCGTGCCCTGCCTGGACCCGTCGTGCCTGCCTGGCCCCGCCGCGCCTCCCTGGCCCTGCCGCGCCTGCCTGGCCCCGCCGCGCCTGCCTGGCCCCGCTGCACCTGCCTGGCCCTGACGCGCCTGCCTGGCCCCGTCGCGCCCTGCCTGGCCCCGTCGCGCCTGCCTGGCCCCGCCGCACCTGCCTGGCCCCGCCGCGCCTGCGTGGCCCCGTAGCGCCTCCCTGGCCCTGCTGCGCCTGCCTGGCCCCCGCCGCGCCTCCCTGGCCCCGCCGCGTCTGCCTGGCCCCGCCGCGCCTCCCTGGCCCCGCCGCGCCTGCCTGGCCCCGCCGCGCCTGCCTGGCCCCGCCGCGCCTGCCTGGCCCTGCCGCGCCTGCCTGGCCCCGCCGCGCCTGCCTGGCCCCGCCAGCACCTGCCTAGCCCCACCGCACCTGCCTGGCCCCTTTGCCCCGGCTCAACCTGCCGTGCTACCTCGGGCTCCGTCTCCTCTGCTCGCCCGTGCTGAGGCGCTTCGCGGCCGCCGTGCTGGAGGGGGCTGTCGCTGTGTTCCTGTGGAGCTGTGCCGCTGACCCTGCACGATGGCGGACTTCGTGCTCCGACTGGACGCCGAGGGCCATGCGGTTGACTTCGCCGCCTGGCTCTCCGATCTCCGCCGCCACCTTACAGGTCAGCGCCAGGATGGCCACTCTTTGGTTGTCCATGTCGACGGCTTGCTCCCCCGCCCCCCCGCACGTGCTCCCCTCCCTGCTGATCCCTCCTCTGATGACCGTGAGACCTTCTCTACTGCTGCGCTTGCCCGTGCGGTCTGGGACTCCCGCGATGCAGTCGCTCAGGTTGCCATTAGCCACGCCCTCCCTGTCTCTGAGCGCTCGCGTTTTGCTACTATTGAGACGGCCAAAGCTTACTTAGACGCTGTTATTGCCCGCTATTCCACACCCGTGTCTGCTTCTGCTGGTCGCCTGCTCTTCCCTATGCTTTTCCCAGACCTTGCAGCTTTCCCTACCGTCGCAGACTTTGCCACTCACCTGCGTGCCCTAGAGACCCGCTATCGCACTGCCAGCACTGCCGCCCAGCTCACTGCGCTCCCCCCCCCTTTCTGCATGACGCTCTATTTTATCGCCATGCGCCTGCCAGACCACCTCGGTAGTGCTCGCGATCACTTTCTTAGCCAGCACCCGGGTGACCTCACTCTCACTGCCTTTGTCGACACCCTCACCGAGATCGAAACTCGCCAGCGCACTATCGCTCAGTCGAGCGGTGCGCCGGCAGTTTCTATCTTTCACGGTTGTGCCCCCTCCCAGTGTGCGTTCACTGACGTTTCGGCTGCGGTCGCCTCGGCGGCCCCTCTCACCGAGACGGCTGGTGCGGTCCACCCGCAGCAGCGCTCGCGCCGCGGTGGCCGTGGTCGCCAGGGGGGTAGGGGTGGTGGTGGCAGTAGTGGTGGTGACGGTAGTCCGCCTGCGGGGACTACCACTGGTGGGCAGGAGCAGCAGCCCCAGCCGCAGCAGGAGCAGCCCCAGCCGCAGCCGCCGCCCCAGCAGCAGTCACCGTCCCAGCAGCAGTCGCCGCAGCAGTGGGCCCGTCTCCCGCCTGGTTGGCCCGGCACCTCTGGAGGTAGTGGCCGTGGTGGCGGCCCGCGCAGCTTGGCGTCTACCGGCGGCTCCAGTGCTGTCACCTGCCAGTACCAGCTTCAGACCGGGCCTCTTCGCGGCACTCTGTGCCGCCGCCCGCACCCGACCGCCCGCTGTTTCCGCCGCCTCGACGATCTTTTTCGTCGTCGCTTTGGCCCGGCCCCGGACCTCCCCGACTGGCACAGCCTGCTCCGCCAGGGCGTGCCGATCTTTGAGTTAGACATGGATCAGCTAGGTGCTGCTTTGCATGCTTTGTATTCTGACGCTTCTAGTTTTGCTGGATCTTATTACCCTGTGTACTCTAGTTTAGGTGTTGCACCACTGTGTAGCTTAGCCTCCCCTGCTGCGTCAGGCGTAGGACTGCCTAGGTTGCCTAGTCTAGTCGCTGCACCGGCTCCGTCCCCGGCCTCCGCCACTGCGTCGCTGTCCTTCACTCTCGACTCCGGTGCTTCTGCCTGCTTCTTCCGCGACCGTTCCACGCTCACGCCGCTTGCTGCACCTGCTGTTGTCTCTCTCGCTGACCCCTCTGCGGGTCCTGTCGTCGCGCGCAGTTCTACGTCCCTTCCCTGTCCGGCAGTTCCCTCGGGCTCCCTTACAGGCCTCCACGTTCCCTCGTTCTCCAGGAACCTGGTTGGTGTCGGCTGTCTCCAGGACCTCGGCGTCACCACCACGTTCCCCGGGCACGAGCGGTTCGCTGTCTGTTCTGAGGCTGTCTCAGGTTCCCCCCTTGCGACGTTCCCCCGGGACCCGGTGTCCGGTCTGTTTACCCTAGACACCGCTTCCCCCCCGGTTGGTGCGTCCTCCCAGGTCGCTGCAGCTTGCGCGTGTCGGTCCCTCACTCACCCCTCCCTTCTCTGGCACCACCGCTTAGGTCACCCTGCTCTCCCACGTCTGCGTCACATGTCCCAGCACGGTCCTGTCTTAGGTCTCCCCGCGTCGCTCCCTGCCCTTCCTCCCTCGACTGCGCCACCGTGCACGCCTTGCGTCGAGGGTCGGCTCCGCCGTGCTCCTCACTCCTCCTCGCTGCGTCCTGCTACCGCCCCCCTTCTGACCCTGCACCTGGACGTTTGGGGCCCTGCCCCCGTCCCCGGACCGCGCGGTGAGCGCTACTTCCTTGTGCTCGTCGACGACTACACGCGCTACACCACGGTGTTTCCCCTGGAGCGGAAGGCCGACGTGCCCGACGTTCTTCTCCCGTGGGTTGTGGCTGCGCGTCTCCACCGCGGTCTCCCCGTGTTGTGTCTCCACTCCGACCGTGGCGGCGAGTTCGCCTCTGGTCGGCTTGGACAGTTCTGTCGTGCTGAGGGCATCACCCAGTCGTACACGTTGCCGGACTCGCCACAGCAAAATGGGGTTGCTGAACGCCGCATCGGCTTGGTCATGGAGGTCGCCCGTACCTCCATGATCCATGCCGATGCCCCCCATTTTCTGTGGCCGTTCGCTGTTCGCTACGCTGCTCACCAGCTTAACTTGTGGCCACGCTCGCAGCGGCCGCAGGTTTCGCCGACCCTCCTTTGGACCGGGTCCCCCGGTGACGCGTCTGCATTCCACGTCTGGGGCTGCCTTGCTCACGTTCGTGCCTCGGGCACGGACAAGCTCACTGCCCGCACTGTCCCCTGTGTCTTCCTCGGTTTCCCCCTGGACTCGTCTGACTGGCTTTTCTATCACCCGCCGTCTCACCGCTTCCTCCACTCTCGTGACGTTACCTTTGACGAGTCCGTCTCCTTTTACCGCCGCTTCCCTCACCGAGGTCTCCCAGTTGCCCCCCCCCTGTTCCTTGCTCCCTCTCCCCCGGTAGCCCCTGCCCCTCTCCCGCCTCATCCTGCCCCGTCTGGTGTCTCTCACGTAACTCCCCTCCCGTCGGTTGTCCCCGTTGAGGAGTCTGCTGACTCTGGTGGTACCCCCGGTAGGTCCTTGCCGCGTCCCCCTTCCCCGGTGCCTCCGCCCCCACTGTCGCAGCCGCCGTCGCCGTCGCCGCCGCAGCCGTCGCCGCTGTCGCCGCCGCCGCAGCCGTCGCCGCCGCAGTCGTCGCCGCCACTGCCGCCGCCGCTCTTGGCTTCTGGGGGTGCCGCTGGTGTTGGAGGGGGTTCTCGCTCTGGGGGTGTTGGTTCTGGGGGTGCTGCTGTTGAGTGTTCTGCCGACGGTCGTTCTGCCTCTGCTGGTCCGAGAGTTCCGGCCCAGCCGTCGTCGCCGCCACAGCAGCCGTCGCCGCCGGTCTCCGCTCTCCGCCTGCTCGGCCTTCCCTCCCCGGACCGCGCGCCGGTGTCTCCCCCACCGCCTGCTGAGCTTCCTGTCTACGGTCCTGTGTTCCCGCCGCCGGACTCGTCTCCGGCCCGTCTTCCTTCTC